CGGCAGCCCCCGGCAGCTCCTTGGCCGCTCTCCTTGCTCCCAGACCATTCGAAGGTCAGAGCGAACAGCTGCCCCTCTGCAGCTCAGCAAGCTGCTGACTCGCATGTAATTGCCCAGAGTGCTCCTGCTTTCCCAGGAATTTCTGCACGCACCTTACACACATGCATTTTGCCCCGCAGCCGGGGCAGAGTCCCCTTCACATTCCAGTAAGAGGGAACTTGGCTGTGTCTGAGCAGGAGCACTGTGAAACAGGCTGCTGCGGCGCGTCTGGGTCATGCACACAGCAGCCCTGGCTTGGCCAGGCGATACCCTCTCTTGCTCCAGACACCTCCCTCGTGATGGAGCCGCCTGCCAAGGACGGCGTCCAAAGCCTGGACTCTTTCCTGCACGGAGGGAAAAGCATCTGCCACAAGACAGCAGGGCTCGGCAGCAAGAGGTCTACAATGTCAACAAAACGGGAGCCCTGCCTGGCCCAGCGTTCAGAGACACTACTCGCGACTACCGTGATGTGTCCGCATGCAAAGCTCCCCTGGGGAACCGGAATTCTGCTCGAAAAAACTGAATACAGCCCTCCCGCCCCAGAAGAAACAAGTTTTAACCCCTAATCCCCCACAGCGACTTTAGCAGGTTTCAGTTCAGTTCAGAACAGGGCTGCAGAGGGTCTCCAAGCTCCCACAGAATCCTGGCGCCGCACGGAGGGAGCGGGGAGCCAACACATACCTGGCTGTTCTTGCAGCCCGAGGCCAGCTTCTTGCCATCGGGCGACCAGGCGATGCTGAGCACCCAGTGCCGGTGACCTGGCAGAGAGAGCATGAGCAGGCATGAGTGGAGAGCTGTGGCTGTCTGTCCTGTGTCCTGGCACGCACCCACCCCAAGGTAGGACCGGAAGGTTCCTCTCGGCCAGTCCCTCTTCCTCCACTTCATTAAGGAGAGCTGCTCCCTTCCTGAGCCACAGGCACAGCCTGTACAGCTCAGGCAGCACCCGAACTCTGCTCTGTGTCCCCCCCTGAGCAGGCAGTGGGTCACTGAGGGAGGGGGGTCAGAAGCTGCCCTCTCGGGACACCCCCACACCCACCTTTGGCCGTGAATTGTGGCGTCTCTGTGCTCAGGTCCCAGAAGCGGACGGTGGTGTCCCCAGAGCCGCTTGCCAGGTACCTGGGAGAGGAGGAAGAGCCCGGCTCAGCGTGGAGTCCCAGGGGAGGGGGTGACAGCGGACCCTGAGCCCCCCACCCACTGCCAGACCCTCGTACTTTCCCGTGGGGCTGAAGGCCACGGAGATGACAGCCTCGGTGTGCCCCTCCAGAGAGCTGGTGCAGCGGGTCACCGCCCGCACCCTGAACACCGCCTGCGGC